TGGCTTATATATGCCAATTGTGAATTTACTAGGTATAAACCGGCTATATATATTATGAATTGGAATAATGCTATCTCTACTAAGTTTATAAAAATCATATTTTCAAAGTTCAACATTGCATTCTTCAGTTTTACCTTTAAAATAAAATCTTGTTTGCTAGTCAGAAGCTGGTAAATACCACCTAACAAAAGCAAGTTTATGTGTTACTGCTATATTTGACAATATGATTGTATGTTCAAAAAAGAATTAAACATTTTCAAGAAAAATATCAGTACTTTTATCATTTTGTATAAATTTTGCTAATATATATAAACTTTTTTCATGTTTGGGATCATTGTTGCTCCAAAAAATTCACCACCAATTCGAATTCGTGCGTATTAATTTACAACTAGAAAGACAATAATAATATCATCAAATTTCTTTTTACCAGAAACTGCTTCAGCAATTTTTGCAAAATTCTCATTGTATGCTGTTTTGTAATACTCTGTTAGTAGCTTATAGATATTATCTAGTAGAGATATATGAGTTTTTTTTTGATTAAGTATTTCTCCTGAAAAAGGTTTGCTACCTGTAATAGTGCTATCAATATCTTGATGAAAAGTTTGTACAAATTGATATAAATTAGCAAAATCAAACCCATCATTTGCTGCTAAGTTTTCAGTTGTTGGTCATGGTTTTATAAATTCAAGAGCCTTGGACAGTTTAGAATTATTTAGTTGATTGAAGATCAGACTATCTAATCTCCAATTTTGCAAAATGATTTGTAAAAGATTTAATTCAATCATTCTCTTGCTGTTGGGAAAGGATCCTTAAATAAAAAAATTCTTTAGTTTGATATAGAGAAAGATTTACTATGATATTATTATATCAAAATATCAGTATATTAATATATATAATTAAATATTAAAAATTTTAATAAAATATAAACTAAAAGTTAGAGATAGTATATGATTTAAATCACAATATTAAATCATTGATTTTTTATTTAAATCAATTTAAAGCTAATTTAAATCCTTTATTATATAATATATTTAGAAAATATAAATATATTAAATCACAATGGCAATAGTTTTTAAAAAAATTGCATACAAAGATTGGTGTTTAAATTAATATAATATATTACGTAATAAGAATCAAATGCTTTAGATTATTTGTAAAATCATAATAATAAAATTGATCATGATTTTTGCCATCCCTACTAAATTAAAATTTTTAATTATAAATTTTAATATATTATTTAATACAAATTTATCTAATATGCTATTCATTCTTTCAAATGAGAAGTACCAAAAAGAATTCAATGGTCCATAATCATGACAGCAGTCTGTAATATGAAGTGATAAATGGATATTTAGTGTTATAACTTTAGAACCATAATGTTTTTCTATTAATAAAGCTACCATAAGTAGCCGTGTATATGCTTCAGTTAATATTTTATCATCAATAATTTGACATACAAGCAGAGAGCATGCTTTTACAAAATTATTCAAAATTTCTTGATCATTATCATCCAGTTTGTCCCACATCAAGGGAGTTGTATATATCAACAAAAATGTTTTTCACTGATCGGCTGTGAACCCTGAAAACCCATCTCCAGTAGCAATCTTATTTGGAGTTCGGCCTAAATTAGCAAGTATTTTGATATCTTTGGCATGATGCTCCATTGATATAAGATCATGTTTCGTAATTTTTCCTTTCCCAACTAATAATCTTTTTACTATCTATGGTGTTATTCCAAGAAACAAACAATGTATAGGATCAATGACTAGATATCTTATTGGGTTAAAATAAGGTAAACGTAACATTTCTGACCACCTAACACAAGTAGCAGAAACATGTCATTTTCTTTTATCATTAGATTTACATTGGCGCCATTCTTCAGCATTTTGTTGATGCTCTTTAGAATCACATTCTCTAAACCAATCAGATATATCATCAAAACCACCAAAATTTGATGTTCTTCCATCAATATTTGCCCTTTTGTTAGAGTTAAGAAATTTGGTAAATTATATAAACTATATTAAAAAATAAGTAAAAATCAAACTTCGGCCAGTAAGTAGAGCTTATAATTTCTTATTCAAATAATATTCAAATAATTTAAATTGGCAACTATCTATTTGAATATTTACTAAATAACTAACAAAATTCAAATAAGTATTATTTATTTGAATAAAATTTGTTTATTCAAATAAAATATGTTATTTAAATTATTTATTAAATAATATTTATTTAAATACAAATATTCAAATAACAAATACAAATATAAAGCTCTACTAGTAAGCTATAAATTTAAAAGCTTGAAGTTTTGTTTTTTTTTTGATATTACTTATATAATGTAAATTGCACTAAAAATTTTATAAATTTTATAATACCTTTTGTAGCACTGATAGCAACTAACTAATGCTAATATATGGCTACAAAGTTTTCTGATAGCCGGAATATCACAGGGACAGCAAATAACTGCTAATATTATTTTTTTTCCAGTAGGTAGTTTAACTTCTTCCCAGAATTCTAGCAATTTATCCACTATTGGTACAAGATAATTGTTTATTTTATGTAACTTGACTTCTGTAGGCCCTGGCAAAAGTCCAAGATATAATATATTTTCCCGTTTGAATCTCTCTTCTCGAGGAAGGTTACATATTGCACTATATATCACACTACTGCTATATATTGTTGTCTCAAATAGTTGGAACCAGTCAAGATTAATCATAAGTTCTAAATGAGAATCTGCTGTTTCTGGTATAAAGAACCAAAAATTTGGTATGTCAAGTTGTAATAGAAAATTGTTCCAAATTTCACCATCATAAATATTTGATATTAACTCGGTATTAATATTTCGATTAGTCTATTTTTTTAGATGAGACTCAAATCCTGGACGTTAGTACATGAAGGTTAACTGTGATTTCAAAGATAATAAAGAAAAAATCTTGTTTGGTCTTCTAATATAACCACTTACAACCGGGACCTGTTTAGTCAATTCAGCACTACATGGCTGTCTTTGGCTATGTATTGAATGATTAGAAAACTCCACATGGGTGTATTCAAAACCTTTATTTTGCTTATTTGTAACTTCTAAAGTCTTATATAAGGTGTCACAACTAGGACATACACTAAATTCTTTTGTATGTGTGTTAATTCCCAACAATTTTCTCGCCATATCCAAGCTAGTAGGAAAGTCTCTGAATCTTGACTAGTCAACATCTAGTAAGACCATCCAGAAAAATTTAATAAAAGATTTAATTGCAACAACTGGGAGACGAAATCTTGCTTGGAACTTGAATATCTATAACAGTATCCAAAGAAAATCTAATTCAACGTTTGGATCAGGATATTCATTATCTTCAAAAAAAAAAGAAAAAACAAGTGCAGTGATAAAGGATCGATTCAAGTATAATGAATAAAAGACATAATCCCTGTTATATTAAGTGTTACTTATAACTACCTTCATTATTATTTCTTACCTGAGATTAATCATATTTATAATAATTATATTGTGATCGGGAATCTTTCTACAAAAGATTCCCGGTTCCATATTGATTATAAGAAAACTCTAATTTTTAACACTTAATTTTTATTTGAATCATTTTCTTTTTTTGTATTTATCATGGTTTATCTAAAGAACTTTAAAAGCCAAAGTAAATGAAGCTAAAAAAAGGCACAATAAGAGCAAAGTGAAAGTAAAAGTTTGGAAAGAGTTAAACATAGAAGTAAAAAGCAAAGGCGATGAAAAGAGTAAAACAATAAAAATAATATAAATAAAAAAAAGAAATTATAGCAGATCAGTATAGTATAGGTGAGCAGTTCAGTATAGTACAGGCCAATTATACTATATATAAATCTGCAAAATTATACTAATGCTTATATAGTCGAACCTCTATAATTGCACCACCTCGGGACCATAAGGCAAATTTTTAAAAATGTTCATTTAGAGAGGGTGTGCATTTATAGAGGGCATTTTTACTATGTTTCTATATATTTGGGACCATGTCAGGGTGTCCATTTAGGGAGAATTTATATATGAGTGCAATTATAGAGAGTGCAATTATGGAGGTTCGACTGTACATATATATAATACCTGGTCCGTATAGTATAGATCTAAAAATCGACCTATACAAGTATTTTGCAGATCAGTATAGTATAGGTTGGCAGATTAGTATAGTATAGGCCGATTTTTAGATCTATACTATACGGACCAGATATTATATATATATATGAGTGTTAGTATAATTTTGCAGATCCGTATAGTATAATTGGCCTGTACTATAGTAAACTGCTTACCTATACTATACTGATCTGCTATAATTTCGGCCTATACTATACTAATCTATACTATACGGATCTGCAAAATACTTTAAAATAATAATAAAGCAAAGCCCAAAAGTTAGTAAAACACACGTGTAAAAATAATGAATTTGGATCAAAATCCTGAAAAACAGATTCCCAAAAGAACATAATATTGACAAAGTTAGCTAGCACTAACTATAGTGCTGGCCAATTTAATCAGTGTCTTCTAGGAATCTGTTTTTTGGGATTTTGACCCAAAATCAAAAATAATGGTATGATAGTCTGATTACAGCTACTTTCAAAAATGTGTAAATAACGATTTCCATATACCTATGTGGAAAATCGAAGAATTTGGAAATTTAGATTAGTAAAAATTAAACTTCAGATATGAAAGGATCTTGAAAACTCTGAAAATCTGGAAAATATTATAAATTCTCCATAACAAGATGAACTGCGACTATTCACACCTTTTTGAAAACAGCTATAACATCTAGTAACATGCTCCTGGGGATTATTTATTTATTTCCTGTGAGAAATTATAACAGAGGTTATACCGATGATCATAGTACGTGAATGGCCCTTCGGGCCATCCATGTCTATAATCATTGATAACCTCTGCTATAATTTCCTACATAAATAATACAATTCGAATATATTAAATAATACAAAAAAAAAGTCAATTCAAATATAATATATAAAACAAAAAAATTAAATCAAGTACCTTCAAGATCATCATCATAATCAAAATTGCTTGACTTTTGGCTATTATCTGTTAAAATATTTTTATCTAGTTCTAATTCCTTTAATTCTGTTTCATCCAGATTAGCTACTATATCATCTTCGAAAAATTGATTAGAAAAATCATCACCAGATAAATTTAGTTTAACTAAACCACTTCTATACTTTTGTTCTTTTGCTGAGCTTCTAACAGATTTGCTTTTATATCAAACAACTTCTTTAGGTTTTGAAGCATTATCCAGAAATGTATCTAACTCTTTTTGATACTTAGCTTGCGTTCTTGGATCAACCCAACGACCACCTTCACAATGCCATATACAATTACATTTAACAAGATCTCTGTTCCTGGGTTTAATTGTAGCATTTTTCAAATGATCTTTGTTAATATGGTTGGTTTTTGGGTTTGTCATCTTAATAGAAGGTATTTTATGAGTATAAATGAAGCAAAATAATAATACAGGTAATGTAAGACAATTCTGAATAGGTAATTGTTAGATAAATCAGGAATAATTATAATTGTTAACTATAACGTAGTGGTCAGGTTAGGGTAAGATAGACAATTAGCATGTATGCGCAATGCATTTTAAGTGAATGCGAGATAAAAATAATATAGTTATTAAATAATTCTTAAGGTATGAAAAATAAGATATGAAGCAGAAATCGAAAAATATAACAAATAAAAGTATTATCATTTTATCGGTAGTTTCTAAGCTTCAGTAGGAAGCTAAAAGTAATTAATTTTCTTTATTTTTAATGCACCAGGTCTTTAGTCTTCGATTTGATTCTTAATGATCATCACGTGAGTCATAGAATGATAGATCTTCAATTAGAGGTAACAATGATGTTGATCAAAAGTTTAATCTTGGTTATAAAAAAGTTTTAAATTACTAATCGATTCTTTTTCTTCTCTTATTTTGAATAAAAATCGAAAGTATAACTAATACAAATTCTGGGAAAAGAAGGTTTTAACAATGATTTATGTAAGAGTTTATCTGGTTATCAAAAGAACTTAAAGTTAACACTTTCTACTCAAATTTCAAAAGGTCAAAACTCTACTTGGGTTTTACAATCAAATTAACGAAGATAACAAGGCAAAGAGTTGAATAATCGAACGTTTTATTAGAAGCAATATTTAATATGAGTAAACTACTGGAATCACTACTTCTACAGTCATGTTTTCGAAGTGTTTAACACAACTGAGTTATTTTTATTTCGACGTGAAAAGTTCTCGCTTTTATACTTTTTACAGAGAAAGAAAATACAGGCTTTTTGTTCGAATAAATCTGCTAAATCTGCTAAAGCAGATAAGGTGGATAAAGTGGATTTATCCAATTTAATGAATTTATCTTATGAATCCAGGTGAAAAGACCACCCAGATCTTAATAACTAAGCAAGTAAACTAAGATATATATTTTTTTTTAATATTAAGGTGACCACTTAGGCCCCTGGCACTTTATTAGTTCAAACAGGTGGGCCGTCCGAAGACTGGCTTACATATTATATCAGTATAACGAGAGTACAACTAGTCACACGTACAACTTTTGGTTGCCTAT